GACAAAATAAATAATAAGGTGATAAAACAGTTTAGGTCTAAACACATGCGAGAGGTTGAGATCATTAAATAGTCAATTAAGTCTTACTTTGCATACATGAGTGGTTTCAACGAAAATTCCAATACTAACAATAAGATTAGTCTAAGAAAGATCCCTCACACAACTCTTCTAATTACTAGGCTTTAGCGGAGGACTAACACGATCTCAGTGAATCAATTAATTTCACAATTGAAAGTAACTAGGAAAATAAAAGAGTGAGGGAAAGAGTTCACCGAATCCTGGGTTTGGGGGTTTTGGGGCAGCAACTAAAAGGTTTTTCCGATCAGGACGGTTGCCTCCTTTGACGAAATTTCCTCTGGCAGCACCCTGGATCCTGATCGGCGAATTGGGGCAGCAGCTGGAGGATTTTGGAGCAACAGAACTGCTGTTTCTGCTGCTGGAATTCTTCTGGACAGCACCCAGGGATGAATGGACAGCTGCTATGGGAGCCTTGGCAGCAGTTTGGACTCTCCAGAAATTTTGGACAGCAAAACAGGAAGTTCTGGACTGTGGGACAGCCAGGAAATTTGCTGTAGTTTTCTGGACAGCACTTCGTGGCTGAACGGAAAACTGGACTGCAGCGTTGTGAAGGCAGTAACTCCTCTCTAGGTCACGGTTTGGGAAGATTAACGTTGGGGGAAAGCCTTCCCAAAAGAAAATCTGATTTTTAGTCTCAGATTATGTAACTTGTGATGGTAGGAAGGGTCAAAAGAAATAAATCTGGATTTATTTCAGAATTATCTAAGTCATGGATTTGAATTTTGAAATTCAAATAAGAGAGGAGGGAAGGGACAAGGTGTGTTTAATTATTTCCTTAATTGAAAGCCTTCAATAATGAAGGAAATAATTAAGCAAGAGGGGAAGAGGGGGCCGGCCATAAAGAGAAGGAGGGGAAAATTGTGTCTAAGTTCAATGTATGTGGTCCCCATGCAATCAATATAATTATATGAAATTCTGAATTAATTTCAGATTTTAGAGATTGAATGGGTCTCCAAAAATAGAATTCATTAATATGGGATTAAATTTGAAATTCAAATAAGTTTGAATTCAAATCAAGAAGTTTCCATATTAATAGAAAGGTATTTTAGGAAAGTCATTAAGGGGAATTTGAATTTTGAAATTCAAAATCCATGAGGCATTTGGAGGGTATTAAATTTGAAATTTTAATTTCAAATTCAAAGAGTAATCAATGCATTAATTGGGAATTGAATGGAGCTCCAACCAAGGTGAGGCCGGCGGCATGTGGAGAGAGGGGAAGAGTGTGGGAGCCATTAAGGGGTTTCCAAATCAACACATGAGAGTTAGGAAAGCTTATGATGAAGTCCATTTGAATTTGAATTTCTTCATAATGCGGACTTAAGAACTTTTCTAATTAGGAATTTCCAAATTTGGAAACAATTTGAATTTTGAAATTCAAATTCCCAAGAAGGCTAGGGAAGGGAGGTGTGAGGAAGTGGTGGAGAGGGAAGAGGCCGGTGGCAAGGTGGCCGGCCGGCAGAACTAGGGTGGCCGGCGGGTAGGGGTTCCAATGATGGTGAAACTAGTGAGAGGTTTGGCTCCTTTCAACTATTGGCCGTTGCTTGCGGGAGATTGTGGTGGAGAAGAAGAATGTTGCATGAAGAGGGGAGAAAGACGATGAACAAGAATATACGAGAAATATAGAGATAATTAACGAACTCACACAGAGATCGTAAGAACCGCGAACCTCAGACTCTTCCAAAGATTGACGGGTATTGCGAATTACCCTCCTCGGGCTTCTCCTCTCATGAACCTATGTTGCACCGATACGGATACGGCGACACGGATACGACACGAAATGGATACGGGACACGTCAATTCTTAAAAATATAGGATACGGGTACGACACGGACACGTCATCATAATTTATAAATCATACATAAAAATTAAGAAAGCAATCAAAGCATAATATTTGAAATTACAAAAAAAATGACAACAACATCATTTGTAGCCTTGTAGCTTATAATATCAAAATATAAGTAAGCATTAAATGTCTAGTACAACAACAAAAGCATAAACATAAATTGTCTAGCACATAGAGTTTCAACTATTCAATAGAAGGAATGATATGATTAGCTTCTTCAGTGGTTTGTCTTTGAACTTCTATATCATCTTCAATAAATATCATAGCTTTTAATTCAGGCTCATCATGTGAAAGATTAGTAATTTCTAATATTCTCATATCATCAAGAGACTCAAATCCATCTCGAAAATGAGAGAACTTTGCTCGCAGCCGTGGAAGTAAATACAACGCATCTTTTTTTTTTCCCGGATTTCTTTTTGGTTTTCAACGGACATGTGTATCGGATGCGCGTGTCCTTTTGAAATTAAATAATATTTTAATTGGATACGTATTTGGTGTATCCGACACGTATCGGTGGAGTATCGGAGGCGTATCCGTGTATCGGTGTATCGGATACAGCACACCTTCATAAATAGGTGTATCAGTGCAACATAGTCATGAACTCACTAAGAGATCACATGAACTCACTAAGAGATCAACAAGAACATAAAACTTTTCATTATCAATAATCATCATCCCTTTTCCAAGAGGAAGGGGAAGACTTAAATAGCCAAATACATGAAGGAAAAAAAAGACACAAATGCCCCTAGGGCCACATAAGACAAAACCCTCAAGTGAGGGTATAAATGGAAAAGTACAAATAACAAATAAAATACATCAAAATAAGTAGACACGATCATAGCCGTTGATCTTCGATGTCCTCATCAGGCTGATTGATACGGCTCTGCAGGACAAACGAGCTAAGGGGCTATATTTTAGGTGTGACGAGAAGTTCACATTGGGCCATAGGTGTAAAAACTACACCTTGCAGGTCCTTTTTGTTTGTGATGAGGAATAGTCCGAGTAGAGGAAGAAAAAGTGGTAGAGGAAGAGGAACCCTTACACTTGGAAGTGGCTGAGGTTTCGTTGAATTCTGTAGTGGGATTTACCCCGAATCACACTATGAAGATGAGGGGGAAGATAGGAGGGGAAGCTAGACTATTTTGATAGATGGTGGGGCTACCCACAAAATTTCATATTCAATCATATGTTTGACAAGCTGGGGCTAAAGATGGTAGATGCGGGATTCTAATTTGAATCCAAATTAATTTGAATTTCAAATCCCTTTTCTAATCAATATATATAATTTAGGAAGCCCCTCCAATCTCTCCAAATTTGAAATTAATTTCATATTTAATTACCCCATCACATTTAATGCTATGGTCCACATACATCGAATGTGAACATCTTTCCTCCCTCCTCCTTTGCCCCCCCCCCCCCCCCCCCCCCCCCCCCATCCTAATGTTTTCCTTCTTAATTAAAGGCCTCAATTAAGGAGATAATTAATTCCTCTCTTTCCTCCCTCTTTTTATTGTTTGAATTTCAAATTCAAATCCATTAATTAAGAAAAATTTGAGATGAAATTTTAGATCTTTAATTTTTATTACAACCCCCCTCTCCGTTCTACATAAACACGTTTGGTTTATAGTGAAAAGGTGTTTGGGTTTTAGTTCGGAAAGGAATAGATTGAATACATATTGCATCGACTGTTGCAAGTCAGTGATGTGATGTAATTTGTTTAGAATGTTGACTTGGCTATCTTTTGAGATGTGACAATTGTCATCAAGTTTAAGTGCTTTGGTTTGTTTCAAAGGAACAACTAGAAGAAATACTTGCAATAATTAAGATGGAAGACAACAACATCAAGCCTTTATCCTACTATATGGGTCGGCTACATGAATCCTTTTTCTCCATTGTGTTATGTTAAAAGTTAAATTCTCATTTAAATCTAATAAAGAAATGTCATTTCTAATATTTTCTAACCAGTCTTTTTAGGTCTACCTCTACTTTTTTAGGTCTTTTTAGATGAAACACACTTTAAAACAAATTGGGCATAAGTAAGAAGTTTAAATATAGTTTTAATCATTCTCATGGGTTACAAAACATTATGTTGCTCATAAAGATATATTTGTAATTGCCTAGTGAATTGTGTTTTTCAGGCTGCCGACTTTAATGTGGCTGCTGCCCAACAAGGAATTGTTTATATTGATGAAGTTGATAAGATCACTAAAAAGGTTCTGTAAATTCAACATTAATTGTGTTATACTTTTTTATGATGAAACTTTTCTTACGAATGAATTTACATTGTGTGCAGGCTGAGAGTCTAAATATTAGCAGAGATGTATCTGGGGAAGGTGTCCAACAGGCATTGCTGAAAATGCTTGAAGGAACAGTGAGCCCTAGCGCGCACATTTCCAAATAACATTCTTTATCTCTTGCATTTAACTTTATGCTTTGCATATTTTCTATTCTATGTTTCTTTCTTTTTCTTTAGAATTTTTATTTGCAAAGCAGATAATAATTGATCATGGAGAGGAATTGAACGATCCTCTCCCCCTCCAAACCCTTGCCCCTGGCCACATTCTTATTAGTTTCTTTTCTCTTAGGTTGTTAATGTACCAGAGAAAGGAGCAAGAAAGCATCCACGTGGTGAAAATATCCAGGTGTTTCTACACTATAGAATTTATCAAGTGTTCTTTGTTGAATTTATGATGCATCTACTAGTTTCGTTTCTGTTTTTTTTTTCTTAGCATTGTCAAAAATGTTTAAAAAAAAAAGGAACCATTTTTTTTTATTTTAACTCTTACCAATTATTGAGTTAATGCTTATATTGGAAAGTGACTCCAATGAAATCACAATGTAACTTTTGTTTTTTTCTTTATTATCCAATCACAGTTTTAACAAAATGGATAAAAACTCGAGTCTGCTATTTCTCAAATGTATAACTGAAGCAATGTTTTTGTTCATACAATGTACTTTACCTTTATATATGCGGAACTGTTTTACATCAACCCAACCTTCAAAATGGTCCTGGTTGGGCTTAAATTTTAGTTGCCAGATATTTACTGAACTGCATCAGCCTATCTAAAATGTGGCATGATATCATGTTTTATTCTGAAACTAGTTGAGGGCTGATGATGATGATGATGGTGATATGGTACTATGTATTCCTTTTCCTAAATATAAATAAACTTTATATTGGGGATGGGTTGATTTGGATACATTCTGCTGCATGGATGGCTAATCCTGCTCAAAGTTGCTACTAAACCTGATTGGGCAGCTCCTCACCCCTATTCTATATCTAATATGAGTTTTTCATCATTTATGCAAGGTTTTAAAACTGGGTTTGAGCTTCAGAAGTTGAACTTTAGTTCTGGCACCCAGTTTACAATATTTCAAAATAATTTGTATATAACATAAATTAAATAACTTTAGAATATAATAATTGTGGAAATTATATATATATATATATATATAATTAAATCAATGACATGAAATAGATGCCATATCCTTGCAAGAAGCATAAGCTGAAATTCTCATCTACCCAGTAAATATAAAAAAATATTTCACTAATTTCCTTTATAAAAAAAACAGATCTCATTTAAATTGCTTTGTTAATTTTTTTTTCTTTTAATTCCTTATAACCAAACAAGGCCCAAGTGATTTAACTATTAAAAAAAAATAGAAAAGAAATTCGGCTGATACTGGCTTGAATTGACTAGTTCAATCATTTTCTTTCACTGAAAGTAGTTGAAATGGGTCTCAGACCATATTTGTTTTTGGCTTATTCTGGAGTTGTTCTGGTTGAAACTTTGGCCAATATGATCTTTTTGATTGTTTTCAGTCGAAACTTACAATTATGATTTATCAGTAAATTTCAAATTTTCATTTAAAGCAAAAGGCTTTTGTTGGGCAGCGTCAACCCAATTGAATTTTAAAAGAATAATGGCTTGCTATGTGAAATCAATGATTAGGGAAGATGCATAAAATGTATTTCTTCGATAAACCCATCAAACTATAATCTAAATATGTGTGTAGAATTGTTCTAACTATGAAATAAAAAATATAATAAAGTATATCACTATATCTAATGACTGTGCTGAATGCATTCCCTAACACCTGATGAAAGGTTAGGAATTAATTATTTTTTCAATCATTCCTTCTAATTGTTGCAAATATTTGGCATTAAATTAAACTATAATGTTATTTTCCTAATCGAATGTGGAAAAAAATAAAATAAAATATAAGAATTATGTATGCTAAAGATATTCTTACCTCGCTAAACAAAGTACTTGTTTTCTGACATATAGTATAGTCTGGTTGTTCTATTCAATTTTGTTTCCCTTTCTTTTCTTTGTATCAAGTAATTAATTCACCAGTAATTAGTAAATTGTATTGCTTCAATGGATACTCAGAATTAAGAATGTCTGTCCCTTGTTTAGCTTTCCTGATTGCTATTATTTACCTTATGACAGCTAGGATGAACTCCCCAATCTCTGCTTGCCATTTAGTTGGACTGTGCCATTGTCTTGTTTGCTACGGCTAACTGTTTTCTTTTTTATGTTCCTTCTCAGATTGATACAAAAGATATTCTCTTCATCTGTGGAGGTGCATTTATTGACTTGGAGAAGACTATATCTGAGAGGTTAACTGATATAGTTATTGAATTCATACTTGACTTGTTTCATTGTCCTTTCATGAAATTAAGAGGATATTATATCATAGGCGTCAGGATTCTTCTATTGGTTTTGGAGCACCTGTTCGTGCAAACATGCGGTCCGGTGGTTTGACAAATGCTGCCATCACTTCGTCTTTGTTGGACTGCGTATGTGCAATTTAATTGGATGTTGATTTAATCTTTAATTGTAGTTCAAAAATCTTTTTTTTTTAGGGTATTTACATCCGTAACTTCTTTGGTAATTAGAGTAATGCAACTCTATGTAGGTTGAAAGTGGAGACCTCATTGCATATGGTTTGATACCGGAATTTGTTGGGAGGTTCCCCGTACTTGTTTGCTTGTCTGCTCTCAATGAAGATCAGCTTCTTCAAGTAAATTGCTATTCTTGCAAATCCTTGTGCTGCCTTTGGTCTTTCTTAGCATTTATGCTCTTGAGTGGATTGTTTTCCTCCTTAGTGTTTACTACCTTATCTCGTCTCTCCTGGGAGCTCATGTTTGACAGCATCAGTAAATTATTACTTTTTATCTTTGCCTGATCTTTGTTCTTTTTAACAATCATCGTTTGCAGGTTCTTACTGAGCCTAAAAATGCCCTTGGGAAACAGTACAAGAAGTTGTTCAAAATGAACGATGTGAGTTTTTTGGTTTGTGCATATTTCTTTTAAAACTGAAGGGATGTACAAATTGACATACGGAATAATGATTTTTTTCCCTACATTGTACTATTTAACAGGTCAAATTACATTTTACTGAAAAAGCTCTGCGGCAAATTGCAAAAAAAGCAATTGCCAAAAATACAGGGGCTCGGGGTTTGAGATCAATATTAGAAAGTATTTTGACAGAAGCAATGTATGAGGTATGATCCCCTTGCTCATTTCCGAACTTAAATTTGAAGCTGGAGTAGTAAAAAAACGTTGTAAGGATCTTTTAGCTATTACTCTTTGGATGTGAATATGTTTAGACTTTCAAATCTCCTGGAATGTGATTTTTTTTTTCAAGTATGAGGTTTCTGATTATTCGATTCTTCTAATTCTCTTTCTTCTTTTAACATATTTATTAATTTGTTGAAAGGGTGACTGAATTTAGAACTGATTCACATATTTGAATATCATGTTTGTGCTATAACTCTTACCTTGTTGTGTTCTAATGATCAATTTGTTCTTGAAGATTTAGAACTGATTCACTTGAATTTGAGTTATGCTCTCTATGAATCATTAAGCGATCATTAGTTATTTATTCTAATTAGTTTACTTTAATGTGAATATTTGCATTTGTTGTTGTTGAGGAAGGTGAGGAGTAAATACCACAATGACGAAACAAGCAAGAAAGTAAAAGAGTAAAGGAAAATAGGATTTAAGATAGAAAACCCAAAATAGGGAAAAAATCAAGAAGCCATACCACACCAAGAAATCCACTATGAAAATGGGGAGAAATAAGTACAGATCTCTCTTGTTTCTCACTCTCTCCTTGCTTCTCTTCTCACATGCATCATTTTCAATGTTTACACACTCAAAATACAAGAGAAAGAAAAGTAAAATAACCCCAAGGGACACAACCTTCAAAAACAAGAAGAAAACCGTCCAGTCTGTCTAGCAATGTTACGGCACTCAAAACTCTGTCTTGATCCGTTGTGGCGTCATACCTATACCGCTGCGGAGCTCTACTCTGTTTTTTTTTTTTCTGATTGCAAACACGTTTCCTTTTGACTACTAGTTTTTTGTTTTTAAAAAAATTTTGTGATAGGAAATTGCTTTTTACAAAAAGATTTGCTAATATGTGGTGGCTTTAAGAAAGAGCTTTTCAACTTGATAAAAAAACATATTTATAATATTCATAATAGCTTTCAAAAGAATTACTTTTCTTATAACTTTACACTACATTTGTAAAATGCTACAGTTGTACCCGCAATGTAAATGCAAACAAGAATAAATGGGCTAAGATAATCAATGAAGCTTCTATTTCAGCCATTTTAAGCTTTGTGCCAATGCAAAATAAAGGGCATACCACATCCCTGGAGCTGTTTCCAATGTATGGTCGAAAGAGCCTTGTGCCAATATAACTTGGTACATATAGTCATATACGGATCAAAGCAGATGTGTTATCTTGCTTTTTGATGTTGTACATGTTATATTTGGTTAGCCATGGTATTTGATTTCCATTTTATAGGTTTTACCAAGTTCAACCCCTATGCTTTTAAGAATAATGGGAAGAGCCATACAAAAAAAGGAGATATTACAATACAATCTACTAAGTAGCCTGGTGCCCTTAAAGAGCAGAGAAAATCTTTGCTGGTTTAAACCCAACATGCATAGGGCAGAGTTGAAAGAAAGGGTAATTAATAATCTAGTGGGTTTATAGTATGGTAGGTATTATTTGGTCGTGGGCTTTTAATTGACATATTAGGATCTAGGTTGGCCTAATACACCTATATGATATAATGCAAAGAATAATAATTCATAGGTCATAACATACAAAAATTGAAAATTACACCACATTATAGTAAATGAGATTTGATAGTTGTACCCTAGAAACAATGCCAATTGATTGTCTCGAAATAGGGGTAACTCCTTGGGAGTTCCATCTGGATAAAATCTTTAAAATCTTTTAGAAATTTAATAACTTCAACAAGTACAAAATTGCTCATAAGTATAAAAAATGGCTTTTTTGGTGAGTAATATCATGATTATCCAAATTCTTGGCCCTCATTTACAAATTCTATTAGTCAGAATGAACTATTTATCCTTTTATTTGAGTATCAAGTTTTGTTTTGTGAGTAAGCTTTGGGGCCTACTCAACATGTTTAGGAGCGAGTTTAGTGGTAGCACTCTTATGTGTGGAAACATTAGTATTTTTTCATTCATTACAATGTTTAAAATTGCGCAATTGGGTATTGAGACATTTTTTTATTTGTGAGGTGAGGCGTAAGCCTCAAAATCTAAAAATTGCGTAAAGTAAAAATTCTGGGTGAATCTTTTGCGAACAAAAAAGTGGGCATGTCTTATGTTTGGCAACACCCAATCCAATAGAAGCGCACTTTTGTCACTTATTATCAAGTCTTTAGTTGAGATAATTTTTTGACTGCTTTTGTGGTAGGAAGAACAGTTAATAAAAATAATGTGCTCTTGGATGCATTTTTTTTTTCTTCAAAATTTTGCTTTTATATTTTTGGGAAAGGAGGTTTAAAGGCAAAAATAAAAAGCATAAATTGCCTCAAATGAAAACTAAGTGATAAGCGATAAGCTTTATCTACCAATATACTTGTGCTTACAATATAATATGATTACATGTACAATGCAGTCATAAGTATTAACTCTTTTCCAAAATAACTATTCGTTCATTAATGAAATTACATTGACAGCATAAACAGAATAAGCAATCACTTTAAGTAATCACCCCAAATTTTATAAGATGCATAAATCATTCTAAGCATTACATATCATAATTAGTGTTATAGGATGTTTTGAGAAGATTAACAAATTATATCAGGGGAAAGCTCCTTAGGTTAAGCATATTCCTTTCTGATTAATAGGAGAAATTTGCATTTTCATAATAATGTAATCATTAAAGAACACTAGTCTTTTATAGTTAATGTAAATAAAATAATTGCTCAATTATGTAAAGCCTCAACACTTGATCACAAAATCACTTCATTTTATCAAATTTATTCCTTGATAATATCACCCAGAAGACATTGTATACAGAGATCTTAAATTTTATCACTTGTTAACATCTACACCTTCATAGGTTTATCTAAATCTGTTGAGGCATGAAATTTTTACTCAATAAATCTCCCCTCTATGACTGAACGTATTATATCAGAACTTAGGCTCTTGTATCACTTGCATAGCCAGCCCATCGAGCTTGGTAGATTTAAACATAACTTGATATCATGGTGTGATTTGATAAATTTAGAGGTAATCCATTAAATATTAAATATTAAATATTCATAATAACAAGTATCATGGAAGCTTGTTTGGAGTTCACCCAACATACTAGGAATCTCTCTGAGAAATAAGGGAAGTTGATCCTTCGGGGAATCATATTATCGGATGAATTAAAGGAGATTAGGGTTGGGTTTACCTTGCATTGAGCTATTGGAATGAAGAAGACAAAGATCACTAAAGATTTTCTCTAGCTTTCCCAATGCCTTCCCTCTCTGGTTCTATCTCTTTACTCTACCCATCTTGTATACCATCAGGAGCGTGATGTAGGTAAAGGGCGATGCGAGACAGAAAGAATGTTGGCCATAGGGGTGGCGAGTGTGCACTGCTTGAGGCCACGAGAAACAGTGCACAAGATTCAAGGGATCGGCGTGAGAGAGGGTCTACTATCAAAATTTAAATTATGAATATTGTATGCTTATTTTTGCATCTTGCTTGCATTAGCTTGATTGTCCTGCATCAATTATTCTGACCAAATGTGTACTTTTCAAAGTAAATGGTTGGTCTGGAGATGTTTCAGTGCCTCTAGTTTTATTGAATTTACAGAAGTCTAATATGGTTATTCCACAATTAGTCATGGTGGTAATTGTAATGTCATTTCATGAGACGTGAACTTTTTAATAAGCATGAACCAAGCTTCACATTTAGCTCATTTATATCATCGTCATGAAAGATAGTTTAAAGAAATGAATATAGCTAATGCTATATACAATAATTTGCTTCAATGCTAACGAACTGTTATTGAGCTAAATGGCATTGCCTTAATCAATATTTGTGACTAGTATGGTTTTTGTTTTCCCCCATTTGAACATTTAATCATTTATAAATAGTAGCAAAACTCCTCTGGTCTGGTAATAAATTTTTCCTGCTTTTTTAGATTCCTGATGCAAGAGCAGGGAAAGAGCAAATAGATGCTGTTGTTGTTGATGAGGAATCTGTTGGATCTTCAAACTCGCATGGATGTGGAGCTAAGATTTTATATGGTGAAGCAGCACTTGAGCGCTTCCTTTCTCAACAAAATAACAAACAACCTGTGGTATGTGTCAGGAACCTACATAATTCATTTTCTTCAAAGTTGTGCTTGCTGTTAATGTTGACGACACTGAAATTTGGTCTTTATTATGCTCTTGATTCCATTTCCGGTGTATATTCATGGATAATGTTTCTGCCATGTAACTCGAACATTTTTGCTTGATTAGTTATCTTGTTTTTTGATAATGATCCAAATACTACTTTTTTTTTTTGTCTGTTTTCCTCAGCTCCTTAGGGTTCATTGGTAAATGGTAATTTTTGGTGCATCTTTTTTAAAATCCATTCAGTCAATATAGGCAGAATCTTTGCGGATTTTTCTCTGGTTGGACCATGAAAATAAAATCTGCTCTTGGTTGGAGGGTCCTGTTATGAGTTAGGTAGACAGTTTTAATAGGGATTTTTTTCTTTAGAGCTGACGCTTAGAAACAACCTAGTACCGTTGTCATTTTAGGCCAAATTGCTAAAGAAGAATTACAAGTTTTCTTGGTTCAAGGTATTTTTCAATGTTAAATTTCACTCTGTTAAAACCTGTGGCTTAGCTAACGCGCAATGATTTGAATTCCTCATGGAGTATCTATAAGAATTGTCTCAGGAAATACCACTTGATTTTTTTTTTCTTCTTAGAAATGTTCATTTGCAAGAACATGACTAATTAATTTTGAAACCTCTTTTTAGATGTAAAAATCAAACCTGTCTAGATTGTTTCGTATCAAAACTTAGGTTTTGTTTGGGACGGCTTTCTTACTACTTCTTAAAGCAGCTTTCTAGTACAAAAAATTTAATTCTTTTACTAAAAAATTGATTTAAGAAGCAGTAAGAAAGCTGTCCCAAACGAAGCCTTAAGCATTTGCAAGAACACGTCCCTTTCAAAGGTTGAGTTACTCTTGTCTCCTTTTTTTTTTCTTGATCGCAAGAAGTAATCTCAAGTTTCGTTTGGGACGGCTTTCTTACTGCTTCTTAAAGCAGCTTTCTAGTACAAAAAATTTAATTTTGTTACTAAAAAGTTGCTTTAAAAAGCATCAGGAAAGCTATCCCAAACGAAGCCTTAAGCATTTGCAAGAACACGTCCCTTTCAAAGGTTGAGTTACTCCGGTCTCTTTTTTTTTTCTTGATCGCAAGAAGTAATCTCAGGTTTCGTTTGGGACGGCTTTCTTACTGTATAAAAAATTTAATAAAGCCATCTCAAACGAAACCTTAGTCTTGATTTATTCTTAAGCTTGTAAAAATTGAGTAGCAAAAACATTTTGCATGAATCTCTATGTATGAAAATTCTTCGAGGATTTCTTAGAGGATTTATCCCCAATGCATAACCTTGCTTTTAGATTCCATCTTTATAAGCTGCTACTACTAGTCGTAACGATCCCTAATCTTCCACGATTATTGGTTCCATCTTTCTCAGCTCTCAGTGACTTTTCATGCTAACGATCCTTATTCCTCATTACTCTAGATCTCATTTTACTTGTTTCAGAGAACACTCGAGCAGATTGAATCTGAGGTGGAACCACCAGAGCTTGCTTCTAGAGCTGCCAGCATGTAATCCTTTGATCAAGTAATTTATTCTGTACATGACTGCTTTCTTTTTGTTCTTGCTTTAATAAAGTTCCATTCTGTAGTCCAAGGTGTAAAATTCTTCCATTAGGCTACTAGATTCTCATTACCAAAAATATTGTCGAACAAATTGATTTGGTAAGTGATTTTTCTTTTAATTTTTTTCTTTATGATTAGAGCATGTCAATGTAATTTTCTCACAATGATCTTATCAATTGCTGGCATTTCATCGGTTCTCACTCCTAGAAGATTGCTACCCTGTTTCATGATATATAATGAAAATATTACGTAGCTCATTTTGATCTATTGGTTGAGGGTTTTGGTTGCTAATTAAGAGGTTTTAGGTTCAAAATTTGTGTATGTGTAGGGCTGTCAAAGGCTAGTTTCGGGTCGGGTTCGGGTCAAACCCGAATCTGACCTTTACACTTTTTTACCCGACCTGAACTCGGGTCCGTGTCAACCCGAATCCGACCCACTTCTTTTTTGTTTTATTAAAATTTTTTTATTTAATTTGATTTATTTAAATCTAAATTAAGATAAGATTTACTTCAATTAATTTAAAATAAATCAAGTTTAATTTAGCTTGAGCAACATGGTTTATTATTTTTTGAAAAAAGCATTTATATCTTCTAAAACCCTTCTAAATAAATTTAAAACTGGTCAGACCGGGTTGATTTCGGTTTTTAGGGTCAATTCGAACTTGATCAGGTTTAGGTTTGAATTGACCAGAATCTGAAATTTTTGAGTCGTGTCTCCGTATGTGATGTGTGTGTCAATTTGTTGGTGGCTAGGGGAGCTTTAATAAAAACACAAATATAACTATTAGAGCTCGTAGTAGCTGTGGTAGTTTGAACTAACCTTTGATGTTGAAATAGATTGAACAGAAAAAGAAAAAAAAAGATAAAAAAAGGTCATGATATCTTGAAATTTTTTTGATCAAAATAGGTTGAAGATTGTAATTTCTTCGAAATATTGGTAATAGATGAAGAATTTAGGCTGCCTTCATGCTGCACTTATCTTGAACTTATCTTGAAGTAAATCTAAGATCAAAATTATGCCCAAACATCTGATCCATTGAGTATGCATTCTTAAATATTGGTACTGTTGACGTGATGTATTCTGGTTGTTCTCCGGACGATAAAATGCCTTCGACGTCCGCACAGAATAATATCTCCTGATTTAGGGTTTATTTGAGATAGCTTTTTTAGTTATTTTATTTGATGACTATTTTTTGTTATTTTCCCGCATCTTTTTAAAAAGTTTTATAATAAAAAAGTTGTTTTTATAATTAGGATAAGTTTATTTTTTAACAGCAATTTCATAACCAACTTTATAGAATATTGTAGCTGTCCCAAATAGATCCCTAACTTCCTACCTCTCATGCTTTATTCGCTTATCAAATTTAAATTGAGCGTTTTATCTTCATGATTATGATGTTGTTGGTTCAACAATGTCAGTCATAGGTTTCAATTTCTCATAATGTAAATAAATAAATAAAAAATTATTAAAGTTTTATTCAACCTAATAAAAAAAATAAAAACTAAATTCAATTGAATTCATTGAACATTTTCCTATTGTCCTTTTAATTTCCTATATTTTAGTGATTTTATGTGCTGCTTAATAATAAATTGAAATATAAATAAAAATTTTATTTTTAGTGATTCAAATTTTCTCAAATTTTCTTCTTTAATTCACCAAGTATTAATTATTTTACTATCGAAATATGTTAATTAAGTTATTTACTTTTCAAGCATTATAATTAAAACGTTTTTAACGTTTACTTATTTGATTAGAAGTTTAGAAAAATTCCATAACATTGCAATAAAATTTGTTTCTAAATTAAAATTCAATAAAAATTCCATTAGAAATTTGCATTATCGTTAAATAATTATTATATACTTCATTGTTTACTATATCATCATAGTTCAGCCCTATCTAATTTTTGTTGAATATCTGAATCATAAACTTCTTTTTTTTTTCTTTTTGTAGAAACTCCACATCATTCAACAGTAGTAAAGTATTACATAGGAGAAATTATTCTGTGCGGAGTCTGAACGGAAAGAACCGTCCGGATATATGAATGTATATATTGTGTATCAAATCTATATATACACTGTATTTGTACACAGTATGCATACTCACAGTTCGGATGATTCTTCCCGTCCGAACTCCGCACAGAATAATTTCTTATTATAGAGAGTAAAATGAATCTATCTTCTTATTCAAACTTTTTCAATGTTACTTCTACTCTCTATAGTTCCATTTTTCATCAACTTTCTCAACATGACAACCGACATCCCTTTTATTGATTGGAATAAGATTTCATTTGTGGCAGTTTTCTTGTTATTTTATATAACAGCTTTTTAATACAAAATTATTTTAAAAGAAAAAAAATAATGGTCAAAGTTGCCCCAAACGAAGCTTCAATTATACGCGGCAAACCTCAAGAAGGAGAAAATTTTGTTACAATCAGTGAATCAACAATTTCCTTTCAAAGCCCCATTTATTGACAATATGTGATAATCCATCTAACAGAAATTCTTGCCAATCCTATATAGTTCTAAATGTCAGTCTTCATTTTTTTTTCCCAACCTTCACCAATTTTCTCTGAGTCTCTTCATCATTTTGCTTGATATATGCATAATTTGAAGTCTCAAGACAGGCTGGAAAGAAGAACAAGTGTTGTTGAAAACTGATCTGAAATAAATAAATAATAAATTAAAAAACTAAAGAAGAAGACCATCAGCTTGTGGTCATCAAAAGAGACATCTTTGACAATTCATGCAATGGAGAATTTAGTTATTTTACTTTAATGATATCAATATCAAAACTGATGCTGTCTATAATAGACTAAATGATTCTTTGAATTGAGCTTAGAACTTTGACTTTTTTATTAAATTATTGTGCGGTTGTTGTATTGTGTTATTGAAAGAAAAATGAAGGTGTCATTGTTCTTATTGAGATAGACAAACTATTTTACTTTTAATGATTATGCAATCATGCATTAGTATGTATGTATGATACATAGTTTATACAAAATTAATGTTTTCTCTTCTTTATAGCTACATGTCTATGGAATTTACAGTCTATTTGGGACGGCTGTAATATTTTATAAAAATTGATTGTAAAGTTGTTGTTGTTGCAATCTTGGAGCCTGAGCTTATGCTTTAATTAGGGGTGTCAATTTCGAGTGACAGGTCGGGTTCGGGTCAAACTTGGAATTGATCCGATACTATTTAGGTCAACTCGAACGCGACAAAAAATTGCTAGTTTTCTGGTTTCTCCCATTTTCTAGTTAAAACGGGTTAAAAAAGGGTCAATCACTGGTTTCTGGGTAAAAAACAGGTCAATCTCAAGTTTTCGAGTCAATTTCGGGTTTTTAGGTCAACTCGAATCCGAACCGGTTTTTGAAACGGGTCGATTTCTTGAACTCGAACCCGCCCCATTTCGGGACCAGATTGACCCTAACCCGAAATTTTCGTGTCAGGTTCATGTCATGTCAAATATTGACACCCATAGCTTTGATGATAACAAATATTATTGGATTGTACTTAATGTCTCATATGCTTTATTATTATATTTTTCTATAATATTCAAAAGCTCAGGCAAAAAAAAATTATTTGAATTATGATTTATATTAACAGCTAAATTACTATTAAGTAAATCTTACTATTTATATTAAGTGATAGGTTAAATTAAATTAGATAATGATTTAATTCCGATCGAATAGGTGCTCTCAATAGTTGTAAGTGTGGAGTGGCAGTTATTGGTGGGCCTTTATTCTTATTGGTTTTCCTGCATTCAAGGATAGTTAGAAGCAGGGCAAATTATTGCGTTCGGTGTCTGGATTCGTGTGGACAACAATCTAGACGCGCCACATCAGCAAAATACATCGGGCCCCGATGTATTTGAGTGATGTGGCGCATCCGGATTGGTTGTCCGGTTGTCAGGTGACCGGATGCAATAATTCGCCAGCAGGTACTGCAGTGGGTGAAAGGTGATCTATGTAAGGAAGAATAAGAGGAAAAAGAGAGTTTTAGAAAAAAAGATTTAAGGTAAGTGGTTTGATTATATTACATTAATGTTATAGAACTTGTCTTTTAAATTTCTTAAAATTAGTAAAAATTTCTAAGGATAATTATGTTAGTATATGCAAATAGAGGAGATGTTACGAAGTAATTTACAAAAGAAAAAGGGAGCAAGGTGTCAGAATTGAGAAGACAACTCGTCAAAGAGATAAGAAATGTAATTTTAAATTGAAATAGTAAATATAATTACTTTAGATACATATGCACTTGTAATTAAATGAATTGAAGGGAGAAATATATTATACTTATTCAATTTATTGAATATGAGTATACAAATAAGTATTCATATATGAACAATTACATGTATATTTGAATAATTGGAGTTTAAAATAAGATGTGGTATGATTGTTTAAAGGTTTTCCTAGTTAACACTATTTTGAAAAGAAACTCATTACATTACATGTTGCATACATATACTTTTTTATGCGAGCGGTGTACGTAGTAGATAGATTTTTATGAAAGCATGAAGAATTTACAAAACAAGTATGAATTTTTAATTTTGAAGTCTAATGAATATCAAATTAGGGAAGGTTGACTATGAAATGAGATAATACCTGCGTAGCAGGTGGGGCAAAAGGGATCCCAAAAAAGAAAAAAATAGACTTCTATGTAGTTCAATAATGATAATGTCAACTTTACGTGAGTTTCATTGAACATTCTTATGAAAGCTAACTATGTGAAAAATAATAACCATAACCTTAGACGACTAATTATGAAATTATGTAAAGGCTTTAAATAAAATGAAAGATGATCTTGAACATATTTTAAGTTGTTTTATAATTATCTTATTAATTAATTTAGTCATGATTTCAATTATATTATTCATTATAATATTTTATAAATTTTTTTAGTTTGAATTACAAAACTTTCTAAGATTCATAACTCACATGTTTTTATACGGGCTATTGTTACAAGGAAATTTTGAAGTAGATTAGGCTCAGATTAATAAATTTTTAGTTTTAAATATTTAACAATGTGTGTGAGTCTACATGTGAGGTATGTTGATTATTAAATTGTTGTGATGTTTTTATTTTATTTTATTAATGGCTCTATAATTACTTTTAAAATAAAATTGAAACTATTTAGATGCTTCCATTTATTTAGAAAATGTGTTGTACTATCGATGAAATATATATACACAAAAATAATTAAAAGTT